AAATGGTAGAGGAAAAAAAACAAAAGGGAGCAAAAAAATAGGAAAAGATCGTATAAATAATTTATGTATAATAAATATATAATTGCTAATAAAAACGATGAAAGGATATCGATGTTTACATTCCATTAAAATAGCAAAATAAAAAGCAATGAACTAATAAATGCCCACAAATTCCGAATTTAGGGAGCAGCTTAGAAATGACAAGCGAAAAGCAAACATATTTCTTTAAAGGGAATCCTAATAGGCATTGAATGAACACTTTCTACATAAATGACGAATTTAAGGATGTTTACGCAGTTAAATGGTTGCAAATCATTAGTGATTTAGACCACGATCGTGCCAAAATTTAATAGATGGTATTGTAGAATGAAAATTGTAGCATAATGTGACTGCTTGATAAAACAAAAATGGTTTCGACGAATAATTTGTTTATGCATTTTTTATGAGAGGCCGTTGTTTTGCATTTCGAATTCAAAATTATGATTAAAAATATCCATGAAATCAAGAATATTGATCGAAAGTAAATCAAAAGGTAATACTTGATGAAGGGGTAATGGCGTCAGAATTTTTAACCACCTACTTTTAGAATCTTTAGATATATATATAGAGTATCGCAAACCCGTCATTTTCACTCCGAGACGACGCGGCAAATTTAAAATGTGTAGTGGTGTCACGAAATTGAATTCAGTGCTGATATACGGGATTGTAAACCATTTTCAATAATCCAAAATACCACGTATTCCATTGCTCTATATACCTAGGGACTTTACCTACTTCGAATATCTTATTCCTAGATGAGTCACATTTTGAAAAATGCAACTTTTGATCGTTTTATGAGCATAACTACGTGAAAAAAGTAATGAAACCACTAAGAGAGTAGTAATTTTGCTTTAAAATTCCAGCCCGTTACTAATATTGGTGAGTGGGCAGTTCCTGTGACCTACACACAAGTGCCGGAGGGTAAGGTGGAAGAAAATTTTTGAATAAGCGGGGATGGGTCCGGAATCGAACCGGTGTCCATCCGATTGCTAGTCCAAATGATTGGAGTTTAGACCAGGAGTTCCCAAATTGTTTGGGCTAACTGATCCACCTATTCCTGGCGGAACTCCATCTGGACAATAAAAAATAAATTAACAGTCATTTCATTTTTATGATCACTGATTCCTCTTTGTTTGCACTCTCAGAACTCTTGGGACACTAATGTTCCGCGCAACACCAATTAGGAATCACTGTTTTGGACTATAAAGGTCGGTAAAGAATCTCAGGATTCATAGTTCCTTGTACTTCATGTGGTGATACTTTCAAAAAGATTGAAAATTGTATTTTTTGAGTTTTGAAGGATATACTAAAATTGTGACCTGCTGTGGAAATTCTCAGTCACAATTTAAGTCGAGAATAACTATCCTTTTGTTATTTCTGTTCAATGCTAGATTTTATTGACCTGTGAATTGAGGTTGAAAAGCCTGTTACCATTTTTTTACGGTACATATACTTTTTATACGATAGAAAATTGGTCCATTGATACGTTGTTGAGCTGCCCTAATTTATTGTTTTCTTGTGATAATATTGTCAGCAACAAAAAGTTAATGGTGGTTAGTATCATGTCAAAATCGTTAGACGTGTATCGTGTTTTTGATCTCGTTAGTAAACACTACCAGGTGCTAATGCAAATAAGTAATAACCTCGATAATAACCGTGGTTTATGTTACAGAACATTCAACATGCTAGCTCGACTTTATTCATTTTATTATGATGTGTACTTAATACCAGACTGCTTTATTGTAATTTAAATATAAACATTATCTCGGTGAAATGGTAATATTGAAAGTTGCGGAACCATAATACAATAATTCATCTAAAGACCTTTTAAAATTATATTGTTTAACCAAAATTTAATATTTGCTAAATTAGATAAGTGTTTTGTAAATTTATCCAGTTAGTTTATAAACAAGTTAAGTTTGGATACAACGATAATAGTAACACGTGTACGTTTGAATATGTGAAAACAAAGGAGTTGACGTCATTCGGTTTTAGGTCATCAATCTTTGAAGTACATACAATAAACTAAGGCACCTGGTACCGAGGAAGAACAACGATTAAGTTTGTTGATTGATCCATTCCATGGCAATTTCTATAAAAAAGGAAACGCTGCGACTGCAAACTAATATGTACGTGTACACGTGTTTTCAAAATTAAATTAGATTCGGTAATATTAAAAGTCTATCGTCTCCTCCATTGCTGAACAACAAACGAACTTAACTTGGTTTACTTTTAAATATGGGAGCAGCTTTTGCTTAGAAAAAAATTTTGGTTAAAAAGCTTGACATTGGAATGCGTCAAATAGGAGGAGCCTAAAAAACATGGCAGATGTGGTGTTCGGATGGGGTTAGCTTTGTAAGGGCTCGTATCAGGTATCTTAACCTATCTTGGGATACTTGTAAACTGTCTTTGAATTATGTAAGCTGTCTCTGAATTATATGAGCTGTCTTTGCATTATGTGAGCAGTCTCACTTAGAAACGAAAAATTACAACTTAAATTAACTTGAATATTTAAAAAAAGGGGTCCGTTCCTAAATATTATGGATGACATGGGGTGGCTCTGGCAGACACAATAGTCTAATATTTCACCGTCTGACCCATTTCCGAGTGAAAGTAAACATTTATGAAACAATAAAATTAAAGAAAACACCACAAATGGCGCAGTAAACGCCATCTGTAGTACGATGCTACATTTTAGGATTACGTATGCTCCAACAAGGTTTGTGTTCTGTCGAAGCTGCCTGCGACGCGCTGATGAGACCCAAAAAGATCGAAATCGCGATCCGCGCCTGGCAGTTTCGACAGAATACAGACCACTTGGAATTATTTTATTCAATAAAATTAAACTCTTTGAGTCCTTGATCGACATGCACATCACAATACATGACTTTATGGCAGCCTTCTTGCTGTCAACCTTGACCAATTTGTGTACACATTTTGTATTTTATCTTGAGATTTATTACAGTGCAATCTATAACACTATTTTTACGCATAGGAACAAAAGAAACTCTTCTCGAAATCGAAACAAAAGAACTTTGTTTTTATTTTGTTTATTTAGTCGTCCACTCTATTGATTATGAAAATTACAGCCGGACCAGTTGGTGTGGGTCAAGTTCCTAGCTCGAAGATGAGCTGGACTTCAATGATTTACCTTAACACAGAATAACTATCGTCCAATGTGCATTTATAGGCATTACAATTTAAGGGGCCATATCTCATTAGTTCAGCTGCATTTACTGTTAGCAAACTTCATATTTAAAAAATGATTTAGATATAAGTGGCAATGGTATATTGACAGCGAGGACACTCAAACCCATTTAGGCGAAAATTTGCTACAGGTAGATTCCTAACTTTAATATACAGTGTTTATACAGTTTAATAAACATGTGTGAAAGTGACCCCCAATTTTTGAATAACGTAATCACAGATGACAAGTCATGGATCTTTCAGTATGATCCCGAAACAAAGAGGCAATCTTCCGAGTGGCACACGCCGGCGTCTCCTCGCCCAAAAAAGGGAAGAATGAGCAAATCCAAAGTGAAAACGATGCTCATTGTCTTTTTTGACATGAAAGGCATCGTCCACCATGAATTTATTCCTCCTGGACAAACCGTCAACGCCAAGTTTTACGTGGAAGTGCTCAAGAGACTAAAAAGAAGGGTCAATCGGGTCCGACAAGACATCGCAGCCGACTGGAAGTTGCACCACGACAACGCCCCGGTTCACACCGCCTTTCTTGTAGACAGCTACCTGACCAAGGCCGGCATCCCAAAGCTTCCGCAGCCGCCCTACAGCCCAGATGTGGCCCCTCGGACTTTTTTTTGTTTGCTCGTCTGAAAAGGCCGATGAAAGGCAAGCATTATGAGACGACAGAGGGGATCCAAGCAGCATGCACCGCGGCTCTTAAGGCTATTCCGGAGAATGCCTTCCGTGACGCGTTCAATGCTTGGAAATCGCGCTGGCAGCGCTGCATCGACGCAGAAGGAGCCTATTTTGAAAGTTTTTAAAGAATTGTAACGATTGGCTCAATAATTTTTTTTTAAATCGACTCAGTTCTATTACTTTCCGGACAAACCCTGTAGTTATCGAAATGAATAGGTTTTAATTCCAGAAATCGCCTATTCCTTTCATACATGCTTCCCCCTGGTACACACTTCTCAAAATTTTCAAATATAAATTGTATGTATATATATATAAAGTAGTTAATTTTCATCGGGTAATTCCAGAGGCAGGTCTCCAAAGCGTTCAGGCTTCAAGGAAACTTTTTTCGTAACTGTTGGCCACACTGCTGCGTTTGTAATTACTTACCTCAGACTCATACAAACCCTCGTTTATACCCTGCTGGGAGGCTCCATCTGGGCTTGGTCATAGTTGATAATGAAGTTACCGCTAAGTGTGAAAATCGCCTAGTTATTTGGTTTTTGAAAGCAAAAGGCGTTAAACCTATCAACATGTTTCAATAAATGACCGATGTTAATAACGTCTGCAAGTGGTATACACGGCGTCTGCAGTTAGTCTAAAAAAAGTAGGGGATGATAAGACTGATAATCACCCATCCACCCTACAGTTCGCGCTTGGCACTCTGTGACCACCACTTGTTTTTCGAGTTGAACGAACATTTGACTGGAACGAGCGTCAAAAACAAAAAAAGGAATATTAAGAAAAACAACAGAAAAGAGACGAAGAAGTAAGATGGAGAGACCTGCATGAAAAAAATAGAGAAGGGAAACGATGACTTGAAGGACAAATTTATAAACCTAGAAAAAAGGATGAAACAGGCCCTGAAAGTCTAAGCTTCTTGACATTTTCTACAGAAGAATGAAATAAAATAATCACATTTGTTTAAAACAAAAAAGGAATATGTCAAGGTTAACTGAAGGAGTAACGATAAATTTTATTGTTATGGTGGCTTGAAGGGCTGACCTAGAAACACTTTTAGTGAAAGGCTCTCTTTTACGAACCTTCTAATGTTTGTCCTGTAGATGCAGCGGTAAGTGGATCCACACTTGACTTTAAGAGGGAGTTGTCGTTTGCTTCAAATAACGTTTGTCCAGCGCCGTACTTCGCCTGCATCCCATTCTCCTGGAACAACAAAATAAAATATTTATACAATTTTATTTTAAAATAAATGAAATTTACGTTTTTATCGTTCGATTATATCCGTAATGATAATGCGTTAAGGGATTTGATACTTTTAAATTTATTGTTAATATTTCATCAACTTAGATAAGTACTTGAAATAGACGCTTGATCCTGATCTTTGAAGGATAACGCACACATAACTTCCTTAACTTGAGCCTCCTAAATTACGCCTGAGTCGGAAAAAAATCGAGTTAGGATATTTCTGCTTTTCCGTTAAACTTTTTGAATTGAAGACATCGCTTCTACGTACTTTATTGTCATTAGGCCCACCGCTAATAACCTTTAGAAACTACGATCACGATGTCAAGCGTTATGAGTACTTCGCCTGTGTTGTCCTTTTCTACCGTAGCCTTATGATCCTAACCTAACTGCTTTTTGTTCAGATTATGATGGTAATACATAGTTCCACTTAAAATATGTAATTTTTGATTACTTATCGCTACAGTTGATTTTCCCGAAGAAGATAAATAAAAGGTTTATAGCATACAACTCGCACTCGAATCTGGATTTATAGAAAAATTCGAGTTAGAGAAATCAAGAAGTTCGAGTTAAAAAGTTTCGAATTAATGTAATCCAATATGTAAGTAAGTAATAGGGATGTAAAGCAAAGGATAGCGCAGGGTCGAGTCGCTTTCGATAAAAAGAAGTCGCTTATATGCCCGCGAACGGTTAATTTAGAAATCCGAAAATAGTTGTTACAGGTGTATGTTTGGAGCACGGCGCTGTACGGGTGCGAAACATGGACAGTGGGCGCGGTGGAAAAGAAAAGTTAGAAGCGTTCGAAATGTGGTGTTACATGCGAATGATGAGGATACCGTGGATAGAGAGGGTTAGAAATGGAGAGGTATTAGAAAGAATAGGAGAACAGAGGAAGTCAATACGAAATAGGCGAGATAGGTTGGTAGGACACCTTCTTAGGTCTGAAGGTCTAGTTAGAGACATATTAGAGGCAGAAACGGAAGTTAGGAGGGGGTAGAGGTAGCTCAGGATAGGAAAGAGAGGAGGCGCGTGTCCAGTCAGTCTTAGGACTGACGACCTTATGATGATGATGAATATGTATGCCAAGTGTTTTGGCGTTGATTAAGTTTTTTATATAAACTATTATCAACGGGGTGTACTAAGTACCACATGAAATAAGACACGTAATTGTAGTGATTGTAGAAATAACTATATTTAATTTAACTTAAATTTAATCCACTATAAACTAACTTTAAAACTACAAATACCGATTAATTAAAAATGATGATAAAAATCAATAGGAATGAATTAGGATAATCGTGATTGTCTTATGGAGATGATGTTTTCTCCAGCGAGTCTATAATAGCACTGGTTTAAAATTTTATAAAATCTATGAAATTACTATATCTAACTATAATGTAAAAACATAATATTATCCTACCCCCAGGTAGGCGGTCATTGGACCTACAAGAATGCAGCCGAGGGGAATTTTACCAATAAAACTGTAATAAACTGTACGTGACGAACATAATAGGACACTTTACAATTTGTTTACAATTCTACCCGACTACCCCGTGTACCTAACACCAAGTGAACAAAAAATATTCGAAAAAATATACGAGAACTTTATTTTAACGTACGTATTACACTCTTTCGTGACTTGAACTTATCTCAGACCACTCTTTTTATCTTCCCGTGGTTTAGCGAAAGCGTTGGAAGCGCTTAAAAAGTTGAGAACCCTGTAGCGAATAAAAAGAATGTTGAAAGCAATCGTTATAGAAGATCCGTCCGTGTAACTTGTATCGACGGCTTGTTTTCTAAGTTTATCGAACAGATCGTAACGTTATTCTCTGAGGCAACTAATGCACAATAAATTTGCAAGCTTTGAGTAATGGTACTTGTGAAAATTGAACGAAGCCTGTCGTCGAGAAGAAAATCTATTGTAGTGGATTTCAGTATCGTAGGCGTTATGTAACAATTTCTGGGAAACCTCTTACTATTATTATGTGCGACTGTCTACAGTAATAGAACAGGCATGTAGAGTATAGTTGAAGAGATATTTTAATACAGGGGTGGCTCATGGGTATTTTATTTTACAACAGTAGGCGCAATGAGGGAGTAATGAAAGAAGGAGAAAGTACATAATGTTTTTATTTTTAGAGAAAGTTTAACGGGTTCATCTTCGTTGTTTTTTTATATTAAGAAGGTTGACACAATAAGGTAGCCAACAGGCCGTGTGGGGGAAGCTTCTGTTTAAAGTGTTAGTAACGTCGCATTTTCTTTTTTAATTAAAAACGAAGTTCTCATAAAAAAAATATATGCTCAGATTTTCATCAAAATATCTGTATCACATCAGTCCTGTCATACCTCCATACAGTTTTCAGAACAATGCTAAGTTGTTTATTTAATATCTCTTAAATTATTTTAATGTACTTGTTATTTTCAAGCTTCTTAAATTAATCTTTTTTATTAATTTCTATGTATATATAATACGTAGGCAATGTCTAATGATTTAATTTTTATCCTTGATTTTGTTTGTTATTAATCGGCCCTCTAATTAGCAACAGCAGATGATAAAGTAAACAATTAGTAGAGGGCAGAAAACGAATACGAATAATATTGTATAATCATGGAGATTATGTGTAGAGATAAGTCTACCATCATGAGTGCACAATCGATGTTATGTGACTTGATTCAAGACAATTTTATCGATTAATTATTATTTATTAATATAAATCTTAATAGATGTTAAAAGATCTTCCCCTAAATTTACAACAATGTGCGAGATCGTTATGGTGTCTAAATTATGCTATGTAATGCATTATGAAAAGTAATGGTGAACAAATGGGCACTGATTTTTAAAAGTATAACAATAAGTGTGTCATGATTTGGAAATATTCAGGATAAAAATGAGTTGAATTTAAAGTAAATGTAAAATCGTGCAAACCTGGTGTTTACCCTTCTAGTGTTATCACTAACACTAGAGTAGTTCAAGTGATGTGAGTTAAAAAACTGTTTGTTACTTTTTAATTATTTAATGACAAACTAACGAATATATAAATAAATGCAGAAATTACTGTATAAAATGTTAATATAAAAAATGATTGAAAAGTAATATGAAATGCTGAACGAATAAAATGTTTGAATAATAATGATATAAATGTTTGATGGAAGTTATATGAATTCTCTCTATGAATCTTAAAACTACTATATTTATGTATTTACTCACAATAGGTAGGCAGTACCTACTTATTTATCTATATGGGGGTGAAAACTAGCCCCTTGCTTCTAAACTTGTTGTTGTTCATGTTGTTGACCCAGAGGGTACAATTTTATTACAGTGCTATGTATGTCTATAATGGTCTTTTCAAATTGAACGTGCTTTAACAATAGAGAAATGTTTTCAAAGAATCTTATGACTTAAGTATACCTGATAAATTTAATAACTGAATAAAACTTAATGTAGAAAATACTACAAATGGCGCGGTAAACGCCATCTGCTGTTTACCGCGCCATTTGTAGTATTTTCTAAAACGCGCTGTTAAGACAGCAGGTAAAAGTTGGTCTGTGTTCTGTCGGGCTGTCTGCGACACGCTGATGAGATCCAAAATTATCGAAATCGCGATCCGCGTTTGGCAGTTTCGACAGAATACAAACCACTTCGAATTATTTTATTCTATTAAAACTTAATGTGTTTACTTTTATACTATGATGCTATTTAATAATGTGGACAAGACAGTAAATATGATATGCTTTTTTATTTTTATTCACTATATAAAGAAATTTAGGATACTATTTTGCCTGAATTTGTTTTTTAAAGTTGTACCTTTTCAGTTTAATTTAAAATTTCTTACTTCTAAGTCTCGCCAGAGTAATTTTGAAGAACGAAAAACATCCTTTTTTTGGTTAGTTCCAAACAGAACGCAAAAGCATTGATGGCGTAAACAAAGTAAATAATAAGTACAATTGGTAGCTTACATTGTTAAAATGAGCCTTTGTTATTTTTAATCTACAGCTCTATTATTACAGTCCTTTCTTCGATGGTATCTCTCTTATCTCTCTCTAACAAAGTCCACTAAACAGTGCTCATTTAGAAAATTAGGTTTCATTCAAAGTTTCGTGAAAAGAAATCATCAAAAGAAATTTTCTGAAGATATGAATGTAGATGTAGGCATTAATTATTTAAATATAATTCTTCCAATAAAAAATTCTTTTGGAAAGTATTCAGCTACATATATAAGCAAATGAATATTTGAAAGATTGGCATTGTTCCAAAATTTGTAATAAGTAAAGATGACGACTTATTATTCTAGTAATTTTCTCCAATATAAATGCAGAAATGCATCGCTACCGTTTTCTTCATTACTCAGTCGAATCGATATTAATTTTGACACAAGAACCAATCTCCATTAATGAACGACTACCTTTGAATTTCAGCCTTGTCTTAGGGGAAGTAATTATTCCTTTGAAAAATTAAAAACCATTCTGAATAGTCGTAAGCTATGAAAATTCGAAGATGTGCTAAGTAACAAAAAGATTGTAAAATTTCATGATTCGTTTCGATCTTTAGGACAATAGTTTAAAAAAAACAAAAATAATTTGATTGAGATTAATTATTATATCTGTATTGGCATCTAGCAAGGAGGAGTTAGAGATAGCTTTAAATAAAACGAATGCGGTATTGACTGTATGAAAATAAATAAAAGTAAAACAAAAATACTGATTTGCAAGAGAAGAAAAAGTAGGGGAAGAGCGAATATAAAGATACGAGACGAAAAATTAGAAGAAGTGGCAGATTTTAGGTATCTAGGAAGTTAGATAGAGTCAGGACGGAAGGAGTACTACTAGGGATATAAAGCAGAGGATAGCATAGGGTCGAGTCGCTTTCAATAAAATGAAGTCACTGCTATGCTCGCAAACAGTTGATTTGAAAATTCGTGAAAGGTTGTTAAAGGTGAATCTTTGGAGCGCGGCGCTGTACG